AAATGAGATGGCATGCATACCTTATTTCCATACAAATGCATGTAAATATATAGGGGTCCAGCCAGACCCGAGGGGTCCGTTCGAAGGTTTTAAAATAGGTGTCCGTACGAGGATTAATTAATGCTAGAACTCACCGTACAAACAACCGGAAATGCTTTTTCCGTTGCGGGAAGTGTAGAATGATCGAGACCGAGTAGTATGACAGCTGCATAAACCAAAATACAACCGAAAGCGGTAATGTTGCTGAGTTTTGGGCTGGATAATTTAATCGCTCTGTGGAATATAATGGTTTTTGAAAGAGAGAACGATGACAAAAAGCACAAGAAAATCTGAATTAGAATTCTACCCCCTCCACCCTACCCCTACTAAAACAACATCAGAGAAATGCAATTTCCCGAATTTCAGAAGCGTATGCAAATTTGCAAATAAACAACACACTGAAATGAATTGAGAATGTTCCAAAAGACCTGAAATTGATTCGAAATGGCCAATATGCATGGCGCAAATGTGAATGTGAATAGAGGAAAATGTTGGATGCTGACGTTAACTCACTTTAATTTACGGAAATGTAAATTGAATGCCAGAAACGAAATCGACAATATGATGCCGATTAGAGCGAGTGTTGATACGATAAAAAATGCAACCGGCGATACGGTTGCAACGCGCAGCTTGAAGACTCTCTTGGCAATCGGCACCTGGCCATTTTTCCACTTGATGGGCACACATTTCAGGCAATCAAAATCCAAATGCAGCTTCGACGGATGAAACAAAGCAACCGACTGTGATCGACCATCCTGCACTTGACTGAAAACCGAAATACCAATTCTGTCGGCTCCACTGAAACTCACCGGACCCTGTTGGGATGATACAAGAGGGAGCGAGAAAGAGAAAAGAATAGAAACAAAGCAAAGCAAAGCAAAAACGATGCTTGAAAACTCAATCGTTTCGGGCTTTAATGTGCTCCGGTATCAAGAAATCAATCTAACAAAAAGAAAATCAATATTGAAATGTGTTCTAAATCGAAAATGAATCGCATTTATTTTTATGCTCTTATTTTCGAATCAGAATAAACATATAATATTATTTACTGGCGAACCACGAATATACAACAGTGGGCGCATCTCGTAATTGCTATATTAAATGCTCGTGCTGTTTACTGTATGGGTAATACATACCGAAACGCCCAAAAAATTCAGTCGACTAAACTGATGAAAAAACTCCAGTGCCATATCGTATCGCGTATAATCAAAGTGGTCGAGCTGTAATCTTGCTGAGGAATTGCTTTTCAATTGTTTCCACTTCGTTTCAGCACCGTTAAGTGATAGAGCAATTGCCCAAACTGCGTCATACGTTTGAGCTGCATACCGCGATAACGGTGCTGGTTGAGACTCGTTCAGTTGCGAATTCAATTCGTCCACAAACATCGAATAGGTCTATTTGCCGGAAGAATTAATGTAAAAAAACACCAAGGACGAGTGTACAAAAGAGACGAGTGTGAGAAAGAGAGAAAGCGAAAAAGATGGCATCAAATTTATTTCCAGATACGATTGCTACTTAAACTAAGTGAGCGAACAGAAAATGGAGCAATGATTTCAATCGGATTATTAAATGGCAACAGGGAAAAAAAATTTATGAATTCGTTTCACGAATTCACACACATACACAATGAGAGAGTGAGAGAGGGAGAGAGAGAAACTTACCAATCCACTGTAGCTGATTTCGTTGCTGACAATGCTATTGTGACTTGACACTATCAGCAGATTCTCGGAAACCTCTTGCAATTGTTTTTGGCTGCATTCGTGTGTCGTTTTGTGCCACCATGGCTCACCGACTATTTCGTGCAAAATCCACACGTAATCAGCTCCGAACATACCCAATTTGTACGCCTGTATACCATTACACCATTCATTCGTTGGAGACAAAAGCAAAAGCGACCGCGCGCGCACACACACGGAAACGATAGTGAATGAGAGAAAGAGAGAGAGAGAATACATGAAACAGAGAGATAAAATCCATGTATTGTTCTTGCATGAAGTAAAATAAATCGAAGATGAATGGCAAGCACTCGATTCGAATGCGTGACAAGAGCACAAAACGATTCGAGCATAAATTTTCTAGTACCTCGCAGAATATTTTTGGTGCCAAATCATGCGAAAAGCTTCCGATTATGATTCGCGTGTCCAGGTCCTTGAAAGACATAGAGAGAAAGAGGAAGACACAAAATTATTCTGACTTTCAAATTAATCTTATTCATGCATTCATTCGCGTTCGCGCGTTGATTGTTTTCTCGGCGTGAACAAAAATCATCCAAATATTATTTGGCAAGGGATTGTTTCAATCTTCAAGTATTTTCGCTCGTGGCGGAAACATCAAAGTCGTTATCTTCAATCATCATTTACATGAATTTATTGGAACGCTTTCAAGCGCTTGTACCAATGCACACGCCACAATCAATGCAAAGAGTTGCTGTTGCTGTTGCTGCTGCTGCCGCTGCCGCCTCAATCGTTGCCGTGGTCTCCCCGCAAAGCTCTTCTCAGAATTGAAAATGAAATCGGTTAAAATTCACATTTAAATATTTCATTGCATCGTTTGCCAGACAGATTACCGAAAACGCTCCAATTCATCTCCAGCATTGTAATGTAAAATCACGTTTGGAGTGTGTTATTTAAGGATTTTGTGGCATTCAACTATATTTTATTCTGATATTGATAGCATTGTTGGCAGACGATGTTCGTCCGCACACTCCTCTCTTCTTCCTCTCGACAACAATTTGTTATCGGAGCTTTCTAGCTACATTTTCAGTTTATCTTATTTCTTGTTTTGGCAATTGAATGCGAATTCGACGAAGCCAATCGATCAAGATTAAGATGAAAATCCAAATGTCACGAACTTTCGGGTCGAACGATGGAACGTACGTTGCATGAGCAAATTTACTTTCTTCGACAGCAATTGTTTTGGATCGGTCGGTTGGTCTGTCGGTGTTATGTGTGCGTGTGCATGGTTTCAATCGATAAATGTTATTGTTTTCGTGTGTGCAGGATGATTGCTATTACCCAGATTATTTATTTATTTACCAAACAATAGCAATAATAACGCCATAGATAATAATTGAGCCATTCCATCAACATATTGATTACATACGAGTTGATGGAACGCAGAGACCAATAGAATGAAACACAGATAGCTCGTTGGATGACCTGCAGAATGGGTGGGGGATAGGGATGCTAAGATTATAAAATTGAGATGCAAACAAATTCTTACTCGTAGCATTTTCAATTGGTTTTTAAAATCGGTTTCGGCAAAGGTAATTGTTGCAGCACACGAGATATTGGCATTTTCCAATTCCGTTACTAGATCGTTTACAGCCAAACTATGGATTTCTTCATTCTGCGAGAATGTTGTTACTGTATCCCAGCCAAAACGTCGAATGAACGCAATGCGAGCCGGATTATGGGAACTGTCTGGTGCGACGGTTCGATAGAATAATGGAAATTCGGTGCGATCGCTCAATGCCGGTGATGTTGATCCAAATGATACCTTTAACAAACAATCGATGTAATTCAATAAATAAATTACATTTTCAATTTTCGACACAGAATGTGTTGTGTGTATGTGTATTTTAAAACGATTTTGGTTGACGGGCGAAACAGCAGTGTGGGTGGGTGTGAATGTGAGACGGAAAGCTGCTGCCGCTGATATTTATTCTATTGTTGTTGATATTGTTGCTGCTGCCGCATGGATGGAGATTACAGATGCCATTAAGTGTTTGAACTTTTACAACGATAGTCAAACCAAAAATGGTGTGACAAGAAAAGAGTGAAGTCGAGGAGTGCTTGTGTTTTGCGCCGAAAAAAAAACAATCTTTGCAAAGATTGAGATTGAATTCTCGATGGCGCGCTCACGCACACACACGCGTGAATGGCTTGGGCTTTGATTTCGTTCATCGTCGTCTAATTGGCAAACGTGATGATGGCATCAACACCCCCTGACGAATAACATGCAGGTAAAGAGTATTTGATAGCTACAAGCTATAACTTTTATGTATCGGGGGGAGGGAAATAAAAGATAATATCTTAATAAAACACTCAGGCGATAGGTGCTTTTGCACAGATAACAAGCATAAACAAATATTGACACTCTTTCCAAATTCCGCTTTCTTTTTCACTTTTCCACAACTTGGGCCGCTGTTTGTCGCTTTCGCCTTCACACCATCACCATTACCACCGACGCCGATATTGTCGCCGTCGTCACCGTCACGCAGTTTGTATTGCTCTTTATTTTTTTTCTGCCACTCTCACAGCTATTTACTCACCTGTACAATGTTCCAATGGGGTACGACCTTAGCCAAACTTTCGGTTACCTCGGAACATGCCGAACCGAGCAGCATTTGTACACGTGTCATAGTCTTCGTATATACGGCATGAAAAAATCGATCGACGCCAACTCCGGGATCACACTTTGAAATTAAAAGGAGAGATAAAAGCCTCAAATAAGCATAAATGAAAGACTTCGAACGAAAATAGATGAAAAAAATTGGAATCCAATTGGATTCGAAGACGAGCATTCAACGAATGTAAAAGCTAGAAATTAAATTGCGATGCGAGTGATGTGTATTAAAATTGGATTAAATGAATCCACACACTCGACAAATGTTAAAGACAGTGAAGGGAGAGAAAAAATGGGTGGAATGGAACACAAAAGAAAAATGCCAAAAACAAATCGATTTGAATTTTTTGCATAAGTGATCAAATAAAAAAAATCTTTTGATTTCTTTTGTTGTTGTTGGTTCGCATTCGTTTCGAACCTTTCTCTTTCGGTGGATCGGCGACGATACGGGAAATACGTGTAGAAAATGTATGGGAAGCTGGTTATTCATAGTCGGAGTATGGGATTCGAGGATTTAGGCTTGAATTTTCAACATTTCACCGAATGGGTGCTATATTATAGGCTTTCGTAGTCGAGACAATGCACACAGAGAATGGATTGTAAGGACTCGTTTTTTCTGGTATTTTGGGAAGTTAGATTGCTGAATGTTGATGATACGATTTATTTACGTCACACATCCCGTGGGTGTGTGTATGTGCATGTAAAGTGAAGTGCTACAACATGCATTACATTCGATTTCTCTATCGCTCGTAAATTTCAATAGGAAAAATACCTTTGTATCATTCGTAATCAATTGCAATGTATATCCGGGCAAAAGACGCTCTCGTTTATTTATATGTTTTACGGCAAGTTCGGCAGCAGCTAATTCACTCAGACCTTCAACTCGCAAACCGTTTCGTGTGCTTAGCTCAAACAATCCCAGTAATGATATGATTCGTTTTCCATTTCGATATTGTACATGCCATTTGTTTTGTTCGTCGTTTTCAAATGATGTGACTTGATTGTCCTTGTTCCGTCTGTAACTGCTCCCGTCGCCGCCGCTGCCACTGTAGTTATAATACTTTTGTTTCGTGTCCATTTCGAAAACGTCGTTAACTCGAAATCGACCCGGTGGTGTCGAGCCAGATGAAAATTTTCTCGTTATTGGATTCACTGTAGTCGCAACCGTTGTCGTTGTCGTTGTTGATGCTGTTTTGGACGCTGTGACATTGCTATAGCTTGTAGTGCGGCTGTTGTTGTTCCGATTATTTTCCATTCGATTGATTGTGGTGCTATTATTTGCTTTTAGTTTTCTGTCACCGTTGACAGTTTGATTCGGCTGATTTTGCCGGAATGCTGTGGGTACGGCACTGGTTACCAAATCGGTAGTTTTGTCACTGCCGCTGCCGTCGCTGCCGTACAAAATCGATTTAGCATCGAAAATGCTTGTTGGAGCTGATGTTGTTGTTATCGTCATCGTCGTCGTCGTCCTCGTCGTTGTTGTTGTAGTGATTAATCCATTCAGTCGCTGTGATGATGGCTTAATTGATTTCGGTTTCGGGAATACTGTATTAATTATTGATAAATTTGAATTATCACCTAAAGCTTCGGTTGTAAAAGTGTTAACATTTCTTTTGATTGCATGATTTTTAGCTGATTTTATCACATTTTCACTTTCAGATTGATATCGTTTAAATCTAATTTCATCATCATCATCAACATTGATGCGACGCCTAAATTCGTTTCGTTTGCTGAAAAGTCTGTGTGCTATGTGCCAGCGTCGCGTCACAAGCGACGTTGTCCTTTTCAATCGCTTCAAACGGTTGATCGTGTGAAAGTGCTTGTCTCGCATTCCCATTCTCATTCCAACTCGTATCGGTATCGGCATTGGTGACACGGCTTCGTTGGCTCTTGTTGTGTGATTGACATCGATTGCCTGTAGTGACGCTGTCGAATCGAGCTCGCGGTTTGCAGAGAATTCAGGGAAGTTCGTTAAAAAATCAAATTGATTGGCGTCGGCTGCTCTGCCATTGTCGTTTTTCTTGCTGGTGCTGCTGTTATTTTTGATGGCAACACCATTTAACTTAGGACTACTACTGTGACTGAGACTGGATACATCGCCTAAATTAGATTTCAAATTATTGTGACTATTATTGCTATTTAGACTTCTATTGCTTTCGGTTCGCTGATGATGCAATAAGTTCCACGATGGGTTTACGTTTAATTTGAGCTGTGCAGGTTCACACAAGGTAAATATCACACAATTGGTCCATAATAAGTGAATGCTTAACGTATACGAGAAGTACAGTAAAAGTGCAGTTGCTGTGGTTCGATTTCGTGCTGATTTGGATGTGGATGAGGGAAACGGGTTTGCAATTTTGTTCTGACCATTTTTGTATTGCACCAACTTTTTTACACATTCGATTCGAGCATCGTTCGAGATTCGATGACAACACACATTTTGCCCATGGTTTTGTGAATCATTTGAATCAATTGTTGGCAAATCCATCATTTATTTACCGTCGTTTATTGTGAGTGTGTGTGTGTAAGTTGTGTGAATGTGCGAATGTTCAAGTTGTTTACTTTGCACTTTGCACTTTTCTGCTGTTAACTAAATTGTTGAGAACAAACTGCCTTTTATCGGCTGGTTCTCGTTCGCCCGTTTGAATGGCGTCGTTGTCGTCGTCGTCGTCTTCTTCCACGTCGTTCAAAAACGTATAGATGCGTTTAATTTGCGCGTTTGGCGATGTGCTTTTAAGTGATTTTATAACATGAATGGGGAAACATTTGCTTAGTAGAACATGACGAAGCTCTCCCGAGCACAATGCAAATGAAAAGCGTTTCGATACAATTTTTTTGGTGAAACGCTTTTGCTCGGAACTCTGTTTGAGAGGGAAAAAAAAGAAAAATCTCTGCAATGATTTCGCTTTTACTTGAAGTGTAATACAGTTTTAAAGTTGCATTTTTCAGTCACTTTTGGACTTATTTACTTCTTCTTCTTCGTCGTCGTCGTTTTTGTCGTCGTCGCCAATTCTCCTAAGCTCTCCATTCAATCAACAAAATGTGTGCTATTTGTTCACATTTTCCTACTTTTCCTTCATTTATTTTTATTCGAATCCATTTTTAGAATGAATATGTGTTCCGTCAATTGCTTTCTCCGGTTGATGAAGCGAGCGCGAAAAGCACAGTAGTCGCTCGTTGAGCTATTTTTAAGTCTTCAGATTTTGATTCATGAGCCTTCTTCTTCTTCATAGGAAAATCCACATTTTTTAAATCGAATAATTTTCTCGTCCGTATCGCGCGCACACTGGCTGCTGTCGCTTCCACTGCCCCTACTGCTTCTGCTGCTGCTGCTGCTGCTATTGCTACGATGAGCTCTTTCGAAACTGCAACGGGAAAAAATCGTTCATATTTAATGAATAGCAAAACTTTGTGCATATACTTTCGACAGTGTATATAGAATTTTATAGAGAGTCAATTCTCGACGTCAACCGACGAAAATGATATGAAATGCAAGTGAACAGATTCCCACTTCGGTTTCGTCGGAATGTTTGTATAATTCCCTACGATCTGAACGTAGCGAATGTTCATTTTCCTTTTGAATCGCCATTTATTGATTTTATCGTTACCATTTTCCCTAAATAGAATTTAGCTTCATTGAGAATTTGCTAGTTTTTTGTATATTCCATCAACCAAAATATGTAGAAAAAATATATATATCTATAGTCGAGAAGATTTTTTAATCCCCCGAACTGCGTCAAAATGAATGCAGTGAAAGAAATATGAGCAATTTCGGAAGAGAGAGAGAGAGGGGGGGATGAGCAGTAGAGAAAAACTAGTGAACCCGAAAAAGATGTAGAAAATCCCAGAAAAAGCACCCATGGATTTTCTATTCGTTTCCGAGATTATTTATGTGCATGAAATCCTAATGAAAGAAATTCAACCAGCCACTCTGATGATGGTGATGTTAGCGGTGTTTATTGCAACAACAAAAAAACAGGACGAGCGCGCTTTCGCTTACTCGCTCGTTCGCTCACTTGCTAGCAATTCGTCGCTATTTTCCTATGTGGTTGTTTCTGTATTTATTACTCTTTAGTAGAACAAGAGATTTGTGAAATAAAACATGACGGTGTTAATTAAATATTTTTTCAATTCGTGCTTATCTTGACTTCCGTTTGTTGGTTTCATTTAAAATACTATCGGCGTTTCGTTTTTGCTCTCTGTGTCTACGTTCGCTCGCACTGGGATTGTGTGTGTGTGTTTCATTCATTTTTCATCGCTGACGGTCGTATGAATGCGATTTAATACACGAGTGTGCGAGATAGTACTCAGCATTTATTTTCACATCAGAAACTATTTGAAATGTAATTACTTGTTTAGGATTGGTGATGGGCGCATTGGCGCTTTGAATAATATTTGTGGCGATAATTGCGAGCTATCTGTTTTCTCGCATATTGTCGACTTTCTATTACTTGGAATTGTCCCTACTTAAGGACCGAACAAAAGGCAACAAACATTACGATAAGCATGGTGTGTTGAATTGGATTGGATTGGCTTGCTTGCTTGGAGCGTTCAGGCGTCCCGGCACACATGGCTGCAGGACAATTTATAATGAACCCCAACGCTATGAGCTGGATTTCCATAGAGATTTAAGTTGTACACAAGGCAAAGCACAATTACGTTGGAAAACTGACGACTGCGAAAGAGAGGACGAGAGAAAGAGAGTGAGAAGAGAGAAAATTTCTGCATATTTATTCATTTTAATTAAAACATCACAAGAAGTCACATATTCCATATTCCATATTCCATGTTTTGTACGATGATTATGCGATTGTAATAGCAATATCCATTAGGTTTATGCAGATAGATATGTTGATGCGAGATGTTGAGTATGCGTTCATTCGTTGAACGGCATATGTTCGACGCTTCGTCTTTTCAACAATCAAAAACAACGACACACACAACCATCGCCGAGTTACCAAAACTAGGATGCTACGAAAGCCATTCAACTTTTCCCACACGGAAAGCGGAAAAGTTGGTACATAGTAGCAATCGCAATAGTAGTGGCAATAGCAAGCACACGCCGCCAAAATATCAAGAACCAAGAAGTAAACTAAAGATTTGCTATACATTTTATCAAAATCGCATAACAGGACTTTACACCCTGCAGTGAAAGCCCTTGCTAATAAAGTTGTGTCGATGAAAGTTTCGTGTAAAATTTGCCTGATACACCTTAATGTTACCGTACGAACGGCGCGTCGTAATATCCATTCGCGATGTATGCCTGTGGCAGGTCACAAATAGAAAAAAAATAGCAGAAAAAAGTTTAACGATACTGCTCACTCTCTCTTTGCGTGTGTTTCTCTCTCTCTCCATCGAGCAGCTATATAGAGCGCAGGAAAACGTGTACACAATGACTAATGACTATATTTGCACACAATAGAACACGAGATCCGTGATACAGTCGCTACAAGAACGAGTTTCTTCGATACTTCGTTGTACAATGTACAATGACTGTCTTTAGCTAGTTTTTGCTGCTTTTTTCGTTCATTTTGAGATAAGTGAGTGGTATCGCAAATGCTGTGAAAACGCAAATGAAAATGTTACACACAGCGGAGAACATGTGATAGATACGCTTGTGGGAAGCGATGCGATTAGGGTAAAATTGCACGTCGTATATATATGGATTATGGTTTTTTGGTATATTTTCCCTTTAATTACATTTTAATTACACGCATTGGAGCTTCACTTTTCCGTAGACTCACGATGTTCATCATTTTATTTCATCTCTTTTTTTCTCGGCGAATCGTCGTACGCTCGCTTCCTTTCCTTTCAACAATTTTACGTGCGTTCGTTTTTAAATTTTGTCTTTGTTTATACGTGTCAAGCCATTATTGTGTATTTTACCCTCGGCTTTTCACTCATTGTCGAGATTTGATTTTCCTCTCGCTCTCTGTGTCTCTCTGATTCGCTGGTTTTTTTTCTCCATTTTTTTCTTCTGCTCTTGCAGACTTACTCTACCTTGATGATTCATGTGCGTGCCGAGTGCCTTTCAACCACGATACAGAATAACATTGAATGGTTGAAGCAAAGAAACGGGCCTTATCATTCTGACAATCATTTTATGTGTTTCAGATATTTTTCATCGTCACTTTGCCAAATGACTACGACGAACATTGGTTTTTGGCAACATGAAAATTCACTTTTTTGTATTCTTTGCGTCGTATTATTCACTTGCTGAATGCTCATTGTAAACTTTTGACTTTGAACAGAGTGAGTGCTCTGTTGCTGATGATGTTGTGCATATTTTCACTTGAATTCAGAAAAAAATGTGATTTTTTTCCCTCTGCCGTTCATCTGTTGTTGGCTAATGTCATTTCCATCTACCTTATGTGTGAAACCATGGTTTGCCAGAGGTATTTTGCATTTGGTTTGTCGCACAGCCGAAGCCCAGGCTACTGACACAGCCAGCACACAAACACATCAACATAAATACTGTACCCAGAGTAAACAATCGGATTATTCAAATAGTTGACGAAACATGAATATAAAAAAAGAACACACACAAAGTGATGTATAAAACGAAAAATCTGTGATTGTCTGTGCGTGCATGCGAATTTGTTACCATTTGTATTTGTTGATGGGGCGATTATTCTCTCGATTTCTTTTTTCTCTTCCTTCTTTTCCGTCATTCCCATCCACGAGCTTTTGTATCATTCAACACATCAAGAGCAAAGGACATTAGCAAACAACAAATCTAACCGCAATCAAAATAGATTTTCCCTCCATGTTACATTGTTAGCTTTACTCTTGATTTTCTGTCCAGTTTTCTTCTTTTTCAGCCGCAACAATTCCCAACCAACCTGTGAGTGCGCGCTGATGGGGTTGTATCACGTCTGTGACATTGGTACATTCGCCCTCATCTCATTGATTTTACATGTGCACTGTGTGCGAGCATTTATGTCTGAGTGTTTGTGTGTGTTGAGCGAAAAAATTTATGAGACGAAACAATTCTATTGGGGCAATTATTTTGAAATAAATCATTTTCACGCTCCACATAAAAAGCGCACCGTTCTCTTTTTTTCAGCACAATGAAAAATGCACTCAAATATTGAGATTAATGATTCGAATCGTTCGTTCATTTTTCCGTTCATTCGTTGAAATGCGTCGTAGTTACAGATACTGGCAACACAATTCGCTCATTTGTTTGGTGTGAGAGAGATGAGCGAGCATGTGTAACACTGATGACAACCTGTGCATTTTGGGATTATAAAAGTATAATTTAAATTAGTTAACAAAGTTTCGTTCTGATCCTTTTAATCCGAGTGATGGGCACGCAGGGACCCCCAGTATCTCTAGTTGGAAAATGTATGTAAAAACAAAAAACCAAAAACCAAAAAACCAAAATCATACAAACAACAGACACACAAACACGGTGAATGAATTGAAACTATCGCAAAATGTTTTTGCACGCACAGTTGGTCAAACGACACACGTCCTTCATATCCGAACCGAAAATCCCAATCGAAATGGAAAATACTAATAGAATAAGCTTCGTGAGCCATATGTCCTGTCGGGGTGAGTATGTGTGTTGGCGTCGTTTTGCGAATGTGACGTTCCAAGGTAAACGTAATTTGGAAAGAACTGCTATCAGGCTTCCAGGTCACAAATATTTTTCGCTCTCTCTCTCTCTCTCTCTCTCTCTCTCTCTCTCTCTCTCTCTCTCTTTCTCTCTCTCTCTCTTGCAGCCATTCAGTTGCTGTCTTTTCGTTTCGTTTTTGGGATCAAAAACTACAAACTTTAGCGGGGCGGAAATGCTTTATGGTCGGTTTTTTCTGGTTGGTTGTCTCGTTGATTTTTAATGCGCCGTTCGCTTGAGCAAACTTTCGAGACTTTGTGTGTTGTGAATGTAATGTATGTACGTATATATGCACGCATTTATACAAATGTTACCAAGTTTCTTTGCTCTCCCTTTTTTCTCTCTTCACGCAAAAGACGACAACGCACCATATTCATGATGCATAAAGTGAATAAATAAAATACGGTTCAAGCACAAAAAGGGAGAGCAGAGGAAAAAAGACAGCATGAGCAGCAGCACGAGCCGAGAGCACAAGTGATTCGCGTTTCTTTTCTTATTGGCTTAGTATCAAAATGGTATTGAAACCGACTGTGGTCAACACACGCATTCCCATTTAATATACATGCAAACGAAATGGGCATCATCAAAAATTTAATGGTTGCCATTAAAATTTGTTGGTTGGCTTCTCTCTCACAACAAGAGGTGAGTGTGCGGTTTTTCGGTTGCTATGTACGTTCCGTCGACAGGAACGCATTTTACCATTTGTTTGTGTGTTTTTTTTTATGGGAAAAATGCATATTTTTGGTTTTTGGGTCTGATAAAATGCTCTTCGCTTTCCAGCATGCAGGTGAAATGGCAGACGCCAAAGGCCAACATTTTGTAAAATGCGGGCCAAATCATAGTACAACGTCACAGACACACGAACACACACAACATCGGGCCGAGTGGTTTGTGTGAATTTTCGAGATATTCGCTTTTAACCATTTTGCATGCATTGCATCAAAAGTAACTTTAGTGAATATGTAGAACATGTACATTTTTCACAGCGTGCATATTTTCCAGTCAGTACTTATTACATTTCATTGCAGTCCATTTATTATGCTCTGTATTGTGATATCTTTCCTTTGGCCAAAACGGCGGCTAACATACAATAACAACAGCAGCAGCATAAAATGGAGAACGAGGCGATGACAAAGTGTCCGAGATCATTTTGTGAATGTGACGGAATCTCCATTACATGCACTTCCCTTTATCGTGGCTCATTTTTACGATGGCACATCCACAAAATTCTATCCATTTTCAGTTCAATGTCCTGGGAAGTTTTCGCCAGAACAAGTGAAAAACTTCTTGTTTTCATTTCAGCTGTGTATGTGTGTGAATGTGTTTCATGGTTGAGCACAACCGTTAAATAATTAAAACATTAGTTCACGATAATGGCAACCGGGCCACCAACAACATCAAACGTATACAAATTACAGATTATTTGCATTTGTCAGAAAACAAAATGGTACACGACATAAATCCCGACGAAACAGCACAAGCACACACAAAAACACTTCAGTTGACTCACGTCAAATAGTCATGAGGGCTTATTTATAAATACATTTCGAATGGATTTTCAAGTATCGAGGCCTTTGTCGAAAAAGAAATTGGATGCTCCGCACAGATTTGCGATAAAACTCATCGCTGTTGTTGTTGTCCTGTTATTCTTTTTTTTCGTCTATTCCCTTGCTCTATCTTATTTCAAACGGAAATGAATTATTCGCTTGGATAGCGTTGTGACTGCACTTACCGTCTTAGACACACCATCAAACAGGAAGCAAACTCAAATCGAATCAACACAACGATTAAACTGTCGAATGCAAAAATCTACTAACAAATCACAAATCACAATTCACTCTTTCTCTTTCTCTCTCTCTAACTCTCTGTGCACATCAAATTGACTTTTCAAATCGAAAATAGTTCTGCGAAAAAGTCAAGATGAATCTGATTCCAAGCGAAGTGAAATGAAGTGAGAGATCTGCAACTTTGAACTTTTGACTTGCAGCAGCTCAACTTTTGCACAATTTTCCACTTAATTATCCGGGGAGATTTCTATTTGTTATGCTGTGGGTACTGAACTTTCATAAATTTTCCACTTTGATAACTTTGACTGCGAATTAATCCGTTTAGTTCGAGTTGCATTAAAATTCAGTGTTCGTGGTAAATGAGCAGGGCTTCTTCTTTTCCGCTCACAAAAATGGACACAAATGTCTTTTTTCATTCGAATTTCGATGCACTTTTTTTTCTGTTCGGAGTTCATGCGGAAAAACAAGAACACTCTGGACCAAAGTAGTAGCAAAGTGTGTTGTCGAAGAAGCGAAAAAAGAATAAATGTTCACTATGTTCTCGCTCTCAGCGAGTGAGATAGATTTTAAAGCGTTCACGAAGGACTGTATCTGCTGCGCCGCTGTGTCTGTTTATGGCAATGCGAATCGAATGAGTTTTGGTGGTAAACTGGTGTTTCATTTGGTTTTGGCTGCTACTACTGCCAGCACAATTTCGTCTGCAACAATTTTTCCGTCGCACACAAACATACACAACGTATTCGGATGGAGCGAGCAACGGTCTGTCGCAACAAGATATTCCCAACATTAAGCAGCATCAGTGGTAGCAGCAGCAGCAGCAGCAATCAAACAGAGAACACCGATATGCCGAAGCACCGTACCGAATACACACACGTATGAGACGACGACCGAACTGAAATCATAACACATATAATGTTATTGCATATCTGGTGGCGTTGGTGTTATCAGAATATTCGGCATTGAGAACGAAAGTATTTATCGTCCCCACACGATATATTTCGGTCCATGTGAATGCGAAGCATTTGTAGCGCGCGCTCTCCGTTCCATGCATTCCATTTTATTGTTGAAAAATAAAAAGCAAAAAAAACATCTGTTTCATCTGGTTGTTCCTATCGCGTTCGAAATGCTTCAAGAACTCTACAGTGTACACATTATGCAGGCTCAGCGTGCCACGCTGTAACGCTCTCAATATATACACATTCGTATCACATCTCGTGTGCTTTTCATCCTTTATATACAATGCAGGACGAGCGCTCCATTCAAACGATCAACGGCGACTATGTATTGCGTTACTCGTTTGAGGTACAGCAACAGTTATTCGTTTGAGGTATGCGAAGCACGCGTTTTCACACTTCTTTCGGTCTTATGTGCAGCGAGAATATGATGTCGATGCCGATGCCGATGATGGTGGTAGTACGATGTCTGTGTCAGTGTGCCAAGCAAGACTTGAGGAAAAAATATAAACCATTTGAAACGAATTCTCCTGCTGACGGTAAATCTTATTTACTGGAAAATATCCGATTCATCTTGTTTAAAAACTAGAACAAGATGAAATACCTTGCATTCCCATTGATGCCCTATTATTAGTGGCTGTTTGTTAGTATGTGTGCTATGTGTGTGTGTGTGTTTGGTACTGCTGCCGCCGCTTTATCATCATCTTCATTTTTGCACGATTCCCCATTCATACACTTCATATTTTTCCCATTCTCATCTCTTGGTGCTAAGTCGCGAGCGCTGAATGCAGTGTATTTATTATTGCTATGATTTATGCGGCAATTGGCGCTTTATTCACATCACTCGATCACCAATGCCATTTGTATTGTCTATTGAACAGGAAAAACGTGCCGTTGCCGCTTTTTTCCTATTCATTTTTATCGACATGCTGTTCGATCGTTTGTCACACATTTGTAGTGTCGGCAAATTGTGATTTCTATGTAGACATGTGTTCCTGTCTTACGCCTTGCCTTAAGACTGTGTACCGTGCCGAAAAGAAGATCAAATCGGAGAAAAAAAAATGAACAAGAAACCAAAACAGAAAGGGAAAAAACAGAAGGAGATGACGATGTAGAAGAAGATGGATAGAAAGCTGCTGCCGTGGCGTAACCGTGCTTTTCACGCGTGCATACTATTCATTCTTGTTCATCACAAAGCAAGTCGGTATCCACTTACCACAAAACAATAAAACGGGCTACACAAGAAAATGAGAAAGAAAAGAAACAAAACAAATAAGCGATAGACGATGAATTTAACGGAAAAGAATACTCTTCGTTCCTATTACACAATGTAATGCAAAGAAACGACGATGAAAATAAAATTCAATTCTTTTTAAAGACTTGGGCGGAACATAAAAAACGAAGCGGAAACAAAATGAGGAAAAATGGCAATAATAAAAAGAATGTGAAAAAAAAACAAAGAATCTATTACGGAGCGTACATAGGCACAGTGAGTTGGCGAACCTTTGCGCGAACCAAGTGCCCGTGCGAGCACCCGAGCGCTCACGCTCACAATCACACTGGATAAAATATTTGATGACTCATGCAAATAGTGGCAATAACGAATCGATCCCAGCCCAAATAGGAAATAATTAGAGCGGGTTTCTGAAAATAAAAAAAGGCAAAGTTATGCCTGAAGCACTCTCGTTTGCTCTCTTTCCCTCTCTCACTCACTCTCTCTCTCTCTGTGTGTGTGTGTGTGTCTCTGAATCCTCTTCACCAAATGGACAGCATTGCGGATATTTTTATGCAGGCACTTGCTCTCGAGAATGTGGAAAAAAAACTCTTTATATCACCAGTTTAAAACAATTTGACATCAAAACCCCACGAAGAAATCCACCGATTTCGCCAGAACCGTTTATATTTTTATGTTTGAAACATGCTTTAAATTGGAATGGTTTCTTTCTTGTTGTGTGGCGCATTTTCACTGCTTGACTGTAAAAGCCTGACCAAAACCGTTTAGAAGCAACTTGAAAATTCGAACTGCGTTTCAAAGGCATCGCATCGCCATTGCCATTCATTCAATGAACGAAAGCGAGAGCTAAAGATTGCGCGAAAATTGCAATTTTTCAAGAGCCCTTCATTTCAACCATCCATTATGCAAACTCCTTATTCCCACAATCAAGATAACGCTTCCATTAGAGCAATAATTATTTGTCGTGTTCATAATTTTGATTTTAAAATCTTCGGAGCTGAGTGATGTTCTACGTCTTCGCTGCTGACAAATGCAAACCATGACGACGACAAGCAATTGCCAAAGAATTTTTTTTTACATTTTTTTTAGTCTCTATCGACCAATAGAATGGGAATTGGTTCGATTTGAAGTAGAAATTTTCAATTGCCACAGGCCGAAGTATTTTCTCGTTAAGTTGTTTCGATCGTTTTCTCCGTTCAGCCATTCTTCATTTTCCTATTTCATGGGGGAAATGCCACGTCTTTTGTGTAGCAAGTAAATGTTTGATTAAAAAAAACCATAGCAATACTTGGCTGAAAAATTTATATCTTCCTTTGTTAAAACGCAAAAAGCGCAAATGAAACTTTCAAGAAATGTTATTTACAACGAGGTTGACTCTCCCTCTCTCTTTCTTCCTCTCCTTATCTTTTGTTTGTGTGTATGCCATTTTATTGAATCTTCATGCATTTAACCTAAATAATTATTATTCTGGTTGCGCTAAGTTTCCGGTTGTTCTCATTTTCTTCAACGCTTCTCGTCGCTATTGCTTTTGCTGCCGTTGATGCTTTCGACGTCGTTGCCGTCTTGGTTGTCCAATAATAAAAGCACATAGTGCTTGCATTAAGTTTCACTTCGTTTGAAAGATGCAAAACATTTAGCGCCGCGAGAAGCAACAACACACGCTCAGATAGAGAGAAAACAATATGGAAACAGGAAGGAACTCATTACGAGCATAGGCAGCTGCAAGCGATAAAATAAAAGTCACCATAAACATGAACTTTGTATATTCGAAAGACAAACAGCAAACATCATATCTTGTTGCATTGGGAACGGAGTGAGAGAGACAGGGAGTGTATGTGAGAGAAAAAGAAGACCGGGTGCGAGTTTTTGAGTTTGTATTGAAAGTTATTACAAACAACAGCGATGCGAAAATGGTGTACACGAAATATCAGATAAACCGAGTGTTTTGCATTCATATTATTAGATATTAAATTCATGCATCGAAGAGCATGCAAAGGTACCGTTGAATCAGAGGAAGATGACACAGAGTATAGTGCGACAATATAAAATCTATATACCAGAGCGATATGATGGAATCGTCTAGCGCTTTCTGTTTTCATGTATTGATTAAGCCCGACTCGCAATTCATAATTCATCACCTAAATCCAATTGTTGTTGAGCCGTTTCATTGGAAAACAAAAGCGAAGGAAGCGGAACTCGAACGGTTTACAAATCACACAATATGAATAAGCGTCGACTCTCTCATGCACACATATTCACACACCCATACTGACACATTCAGCCGCCGCTCAAACATTACTCGCTTTGACAATAATTTATTTAAGCTGTTGATTTAATTTCTCCCGAGATTTATGCTTTGTATATGATGACGGTAATCGGATGAAGCATTTTTTGTCGTAAACAAATGTTCTCTGATTATCGCATCATTTTTTGTCATCATTAGAGTCGCAATCCCATCAGATTTTAAAAGTTCACACATCCACACTTTCCCACACGATGACAGCGGATCGGTGCAGCACACAAGCCAACAAGCCAACATTCATTCACTCCTTCCTCGCCACCCATTATGTCGCCCGTTTTACACACATGTGCTGACGCGCTTATCTTATCCGAACGAAAAATTGAACACATGATAGAATAAAATTTGAAAAAAACACCAAACGCAAGGATGATAAGATTAATTCACCGTCAAATGATGACAGAATGCTCCTGACAACACTTTTTTCCCCATTACACGGGCTTCTCTTAGCCAAACCAAGTGCTCAATGGCAATTTGGTTGAGCTAAATGTACAGTTCTCATTTTGATTATGTGAGTAATTGAATAATTTAGCTAATTTGAGATGCAGTCGTATTTTTCCTCACACATTTTTTTCTTTCTCCCTCCAGTCTGATATGACATGTCATTGGAATTACGTGTATCGTAGATTTACAAGCGACGAAAAGCAATCTGTTGCGCTCGAACGATGGAATGCCATTCAGACACACACACACACACACACATCGAGGAGTTTGCACTATCAAGGGTGCCATCAATGGCGTGAAATCGCATTACGAAAACTTTTTCCCATCGGTTTGTTTTTGTGTGTGTGTGTTTTTTTCTTCTTCTTCCATTCCTTCTCTTTCTTCTCCTTTAATCGTAATTCGCATTTCTTAGCACCCAACTCATGCTGTTTTTTCTCTCTCTCCATAAACTCGTCGTCATTTGGAAATCGTAAAGCATGAACATGAATAATTAATTTGAAAACAAATCGGTTCGGTGCTGGTTCGTAATGGTGTGCGCCGAAATGCAAGAGCAAACTCAATTAAATTGCACTTTAAGCGAAAGCAGACGGCAAATCACTTAAACGTAATTCAATCAACAAACAAACGACTCGTTTATACTTCACTCTCACTCCCATTTTCTATTCACACTCTTTGCACGCACAACAATTCATACACTCTGTCGCAGCGGTGGCAATGCAACAACAGCAACATCACCAATTTAATTGAGCAATCATCTTTAAATTGATGGAAAATTTATTAATTTCAAATTTTTACTCAGTCATTTTGAATGCACGGTCGCGCGTTTTCTGGCATTCATTTGCATTTTACACGTTGCAACACAATCTGGTCGTTACGATTTGGTATCATGCTTTATTCAAAGCGATAAAAATTCCATTTTAGCAAAACTCTAATTGCTTACATTAAAGGTTGAACTCATGACGAACACGAGGGGCGAATCTATGTATATGGATGGATTGGGTTAAGTGAAAAATAATAAATTAGAATAAAATATTTAACAATCAAACACGATATTGGGATAGACATGCCATTGTTTTATCGTCTTTCTAAAAACATTTAGCAACAATCTCGGTAGTTTTCATTTTGTGCAGTCTAACTATAAATTGTCGAGTTAGAGAAAAAAATTTATTGCAATAAATGTTAATTTCAAATTTTCTCTTCATTATCTTGACCATCTCAACACAGCAATCATGCACATTGCAAACAACCTCCAAAATTGTGAATTTATTTACTCGCATAACTTTGTTGAATGAAATCGTTGAATATTTTATCATTCCATTTCCGTGAAGTGTTTTGAAATTTCGGCTTGCGACAAACGCATAGCCAAAATGTAATTCATCGTCATTAAGCTTAATTAAAATGAAATAGCGTTAACAATGTTATAAACATTTTACGACTCCTAGCTCTATGACGAAATTGTCCAAAAAATGTGTTATATAATCGCCTTTGAGCAAATGGGAATTGTATACGAAATGTACATTTCTGTTGAAAAAGAAAGTTCTACAATAATATTTCTTTTTTGTTCGCCCGTATTCTTTTTGGGTCTTTTTGGTTGTTGTTTTGTTTTTGTTTCTCTTATTCTTTTGTATTGATATGTAGCCGGTTGTTTTTTGCGAGTGAAACCGCAAAAAATGCAAGTTTCGATGGAGAACAACCATAACTTTCTTGTAAACAAGACAAGAATTATATTGATTTCATCTAGGGGAATATCACGCTCCTGAATCTTGTGAGATATTTGAGATATTTGAAATAAACATCAATTGTATGAAATATTTTCGAATATTTCGAATAAATAAATCAGATTTTTGTGGATTTTGGAGATATTTGAGATTTTTTGCATTAAATCTAAATAAATACATTTAAATATCATTCATAATCACAAAAATCCAAAATATTCCGCCGTATTCACAAATATCCACCATATTTCATACGACAGATTCTTGAAGATAAATTGGATTTTTTTGAAATATTTGAAATAATTTAAGCGTGATATTCCCCTAGGATTTCATTGCGTTTTCTTTTGTTGCTTTTCGGAAGTTCAATCAATTTTTTATGTTCTTATCAAAATTGCAAAGGAACAAACCGTTTATTGACTTTGATTGAGTATAAGAATGGGACTGATACCGGCTAGTAACATTTGTGTTATGATATGGTACTGCTATACTGCATATACTGTGCGTACATCTACACGTAAATTGTACATTGGTGGGATGGCCTGCTGAGTTTATCGGTCGGATACGAACCGAAGACCATTAAAAAAGTGTAATTGTGCACGGACCCGTGACTGGCCACCGATAAAACAAAACAAAACTTTTCTATTCATAAAAGAGGGTCTCCTTTGAATATTACACGACGTACCACGCAATTGAAGCAATCGGTTGCCGCGACTAGTCATCTTATTCAGGCAGGTTGTTTATGTGAAGTGTCTATTGGTTTGCCTATGCAAACATTGCAAATTATATCGAAAAATATTAATTGTGGATTATTAATGAGATTAAATGCTTTAAAATGTGCCTTAAAAGGCTATTCCCTTTTTAAGACACTTTTTGTTTTTCTAACTTTTTCCTAATTAATATAATACAATGTAAATTGATATCAGTGCTGATCGCGTGCTGAATATCATCTGTTTTTATAATCTTTAAGTCACCAACAACGTAAACAACATCTCACGGTTTGTGTTTTGAAGAAAATAAAATGATTTTCATGTTTCTATTTTAAAATCGACCGACGACGTCAGCAGTGTTTGGTATTTGTGTAGCGTTTTGTTATCGCCGAAGCGATATTCTTTCATTCGTCTAAATTGCTACACTTATACGATTCGGATATTTAATTGTCAGTTCGCTTTGGAGAGCTCTGCGTCTGATGTTATCAAAAATTGAACGCTTTTTACGCTTTTCGGTTACTTGTTAGTCATTTGCTGTGATCAACATCAGATAGAATTCGTTTGTTGTAGCGATCGGTAGCACTTTTTTTTGGGTCGTTCGTACTATATTTGAATTTCTAAATATAATTAGTTCGTATGCCAATTGAAATTCGTTAGTGAATGAGCGAGCCGCACAAGCAATTTGATTAAATACTGAACACACACACAGTATGTTCAAAGAAAGTGAAACGGTCATTTCACATAGCGTACGACTTCAGTACTTGGCTGTTATAATCGGTGTGTTTGCTCTTTTTTTGATTTGCATTTTGTTTGCTAGTGATTTCATTAAGTTTCATTTTTCGTTTGGTTCAGTGCAAAGTGTCATGGAACGTTCTAAATACTGCTTGAGCCCATTTCCATTCATAAAATTACAGAAAAAAGAACAAACAGCGTTTATTTTATTCAAAAGTGTTTTGTTTTCTTTTGTTAGCAAATCTAATTTCGCTATGCCATGGCATGGCAATAGGTAAGATTTCAACGCGATATTTGATCCGATTCGTGATTTTTTTAAAATATTTTTCTAATCACACTATAGGTTGGTTGAGTCCCAACCTTCCGAAACTGCAGTCCGATGATTCGCCGTTGCAAACCAAGATGACATTATCTGAAATTTCCTGGATTGGATCGTGCTTTTCAATAGGTGCCGATCAACTAAGTTCGACTCCGAAAAAATATGAAAAATAACACAAGTTTTCTTCTCGTTCGCTTTTCAATAGGTGCAATTCTTGGCAACTGTGTGTTTGGTATTGTGTCGAATTTTATCGGTCGAAAAAATACACTTTGCATTTTGGCATTGCCGAACCTGGTAAATAGATTCATGCCTGCAACTTTTACTGCAAAAAAAAATTGACTGTGCTTTCTTTCCGTCTCGCCTGTGACGCTCTCCTGCATGATTGCGAACAAGCATTGCAACATGCGGTGTTGATGGTTGCAATATGTGTGAGAGAGAGTCAGAGCTCATACGAGCGTTCGCTATACTATGACTTGACATATTTTTCCGTTCGATTGTGCTCTTGAAATTGCTTCGGATCCGTTGCCCTGGCAGCTGGCCAAACCCGGGAGAAAAAATAAACAAATTGTGTTGGTTTTCGGTGTGGTAATCGTTCTCGAATAAAAAAAAAAACAGATACACACACAAATAAACGCATCAAATGCATTTCGAATGCAAATCACAAGGAAAATGTAGCGCTACAGAACACCGGAATAAACATACAACATAATAACATATACCACGAATTTCAGAGGTTTTCATTTCAGCGGTGTAAACATAGTGCTGTAAAGCCCCTCACCAAAAACTATCTCACTCTCTCTGCCTGGATATATGTTTAACGCGAGTTAAAACTAGTTCATTTAATTTAATAGGGATTTATTGCATCATTTCTGTCCGAGCGGTGCGTCTCATACATTTGTGTCGCTGAGCATAAAAATGGGAATACAGATCTGTTACAGCAACAACCGAACATAAAATATTGTTCCCTAAAAACGTTACATGAATTTCTATCCAATGCGAGTGTAACATAAGCTAATACTGTTTCTAATGCAACTCATGTTACACTCGCGTTAGATGAAATTCATGTAACGTTTTTACGGAACCATATTTTATGTTCGGTTGTTGCTGTAACAGATCTGTATTCCCATTTTTATGCTCAGCGACACATTTCATTGTAGTTGGATACACGCACAAAAACGATATTAAGCGTGTAATGGTTCAGTTCAGTTTGATTCAATGTTGATTTGATAAAAACCGTGATTTTTCATTAGCGTGCATCCTTCAAGTCATAATGAAATTGATAAGCCCAAACGATTTATTATTATGCATGAAAATTGAAAAATAATCTATTTTAATTCGGTATTTATGAATAATAATAATTCCGACCAAAAATCTATTGGAATTTTGCATCATCATCACCGAAACAAGTGCATTGAAACAGCTGATTTTGATAATGTAATCGAATAAAGCTGTAATTTCATGAAAAAATGAACACATTTTTCATGCACGACAGTTGAACGCGTAATGAGCAGGAAACTGAGTTGTTTGTTCATACAAATTACAATTACGCCCCGAAAAAATGTGCATTCCACATTCAAATATTGCCTTTTCAACTTTTTTGTCCCTGCATATTAACCACACCAAAAATCACTTTGAAAACCTCACAATTAATGGCTACATTGTGCGAATGTCGAAACTCAACCCGATAATTGAAAAACTTTTGTTAACCCAGCTAGCGAACAAAATACTGGGTGCAACATGTTGAAAAAAGCACAAAATGTATATAATAAAGTTTTAATGCACAGCTCGAGTGTCGAATTTCAATGATTTCTCATGCATATGATTTGGCAAAAATGCGTACACCGAATTTTCCATATTCATGGTTGAGTGGTTTTATAAGTCGTCAACCGTCTGTAGCCAATTTTCACATCTGTTGATAACAGAAACGTTGAAATTTATTTCGAAGATAGAAACGCTTCGATTGTTTATCTATTTTTGTATGTTTTTGTTGTTGTGATCTCAAGAGAAAAATTCTTCGTGAGATAAACAACATGTGCGAGATTACCCCATCAGTTGTGTCAGTTTCTAATAAATTGTTTGTTCAAATCAAGTTCAGCCAGCCAAAGCAATTAAGAAGTTGTCAAATGTACCAGTTAATATGACAATAACAAGTCTTATCCGTGTAGCTCATCCACATGGATACAGTAGAAATTTATAGTAAGGTCTAATGAGATTGTACATATTCTAAGGTCTAAGCAAAAAATGGTTTATTATTGAAGACTGTGTGTTATCACAATTTATGCTTGACAGTTCTCACAATAAGCATGAATCACCTGGATTGTCATTAAGATTATCAATGTTTGATAATAAATCGCAATTTTCTGTACTCAGATTATTCACTAATTAAGCAATAAAATGTCAATTTTGATAACATTATTACGTAGAAAGATGTACATATACATGCTTTATGAGTGTCATATAACATTCAAAATTGCAGTGATTGTAATCTTTCATAATTTTATGGTCGCTTCCAGCTGTTTTGGCTGTTGGTCCTGTTTGGCAGTAATGCGGTGGATTTGTATATTGGTCGCATATTTGCGGGAGCGACAGGTGGCGGAATGTATATATGCCTGCCGTTGTTCGTTGCTGAAGTGGCCGATCAAAGGTTGGTTCATTTTCATTTACCACACGCGTCATTATGGCGATATGCGTTTTTTTTTTCAACCATAAAAATTTATGCGCTTGCATTAAAATACATTGCAGAATTCGCGGTCGCCTGGGCTCATTGTTGATGCTCAGCGTCACAATTGGAATTTTATTCGGTTTCATCGCTGGAACATATTTAACATACTATCTGGTGCCAAAAATCTTTTTACCACTTCCGATCGTGTTTTTCGTGTTATTTATCTTTTTTCCGGAAACACCACAATATTTCATACAACGCAAAAGTTTCGAAGTAATGTTCAAAAAAAGAATACGTATACAAAACAACAACAACAACTATGCAATCTGGTCAAACCAGATGTTGTGTTGTTGTTGTTGTTCTGTGCTCATCCGAATAAAATCTCTCTATTCTTTTGTGTTTACATTTTTTTCTCCTGTAGAAAGCAAAATTTTCACTAAATTTCTACCGCGACTGCTGCTGCAAGGAACGAAATCGTTGCACGCAAATCGATTCGGAATTTGCGGAAATTCTGCAATCTGTTCATGAGCGCTTAGATCAAAATGAAAAATACCGAAAAAATGCACTCAAAAACATCTGTAAGTTCCGATGACATAAGTTCCGTTTCCATTTATTTCTATTTTTCCTGTTAGTCTGGTTCCCCGAACAATCTAGAATTTTAGCTCAAACACGATGATAAATAGGAAGTTTAATTGAAACAATGGCTATGCCGCAGGCTAGTTTTAGTCGATAATTTGTTTATTTCTGGTTGCGACGTTTCGGACACACTCGGTGTTCCATTATCAAGCACTACAAAATCAAAAGTGTGTAAGTAAAACAATATAAACAAAACATTCTGTTCATCACAGACTCACAGTTAGAATACGTTTTTACGCAAAATTGAAATTCTCTCTTAACGCGAACATTCCGATCACGTTCGGTGTAAATCACAGGAAATTGGTTTTTAAATACAAAATACTTAAATGTTTAAATGTTTAAATAGTGAAAAAAGTAAAACTAATTGGAATTGAACAGTCAATATAAATGAGTGTGAATCATTCTCCTTCTTCTTCGTCTCATTTTCACACTCATTTATATTTTTTTTTATTCAGAAATAAACAAATTATCGACTAAAACTAGCCTGCGGCATAGCCATTGTTTCAACTAAATTCAACAATAGTCGACAGAACCATTGATTCATGAATCACCAATAAATAGGAAATGATGTTTTTATGTCGCTTCATTACAGTTAAATGGGATTCGATTAAAGCGATATTAATTGGATTCTCATTGACCGGCATCAATCTATTCAGCGGAACATTTGCGTTCGTGAATTATACAGCGAGTATTTTCAAAGAATCCGGCTCAACGCTTGATCCGCACGTTTCATCAATTATAGTTGCTGCCATACAAATATTCGGTGTTTATGGGTCAACGCTATTGGTCGATCGCATCGGTCGTAAAACTCTACTAATATTTTCAACATCTGGTGCATTCGTTGGACTTATATCGCTCGGAATTCATTCATATCTCATTGAAAATGGTTACGATTTGACTGCATGTAATTGGATCCCATTGATAAGTTTCTCAACGTTCATATTCATCAGCTGCTTTGGCATATTACCATTGCCTTTCATAGTTTTGACGGAAATTCTACCGGCCGAGGTAACAAAAAAAAAACTGACGAGAGAATGGGAGAGAGAGAGAGAGAGAGAGAGAGAGAGCAAAAATGCAAATTGTGATGAAATATGAAAAATGACATTTTTTATTAATTCTTCACATTATTGCATCACACACTCTTTCGCTCCAATTCATCGCTGAATTCTGATGAATTTTTAATTTCGCAGGTGCGGACATTTGGCTCCACGCTTTGCATGCTCTCCAACAGTGTTTTCGCATTCATATCACTGAAGACGTTCCCAATTTTAATGCATTCGGTTCATTTGTATGGCGTTTCATGGATTTGCGCTGGCGTATGCTTTTACGGTATTCTATTTAGCATTTTCATACTCAAAGAAACAAAAGGAAAGAATTTAAATGAAATTGTGCCAAAACAACCGACAACTAGCGCCTAGATAAATTTATACTCGATGTTCAACACTTTTTTTTAAATAATTTATAAATGTGATCAATAAATTCATAATTTCAAAATCAATGCGAAGTGTTTTTTTCTGTTGTTCTGATGCCTTTTTTGCTTCTCGCCTTCCAATGGACGGGAATACAAAGCGAATCGCAGTTGATTTACACTAGATGGCGCTAGGCATCACCTGCACATCACATTGAAGCGGGAAAGTGACATTTGTCGCGCTATTATTATGTACTCAAATTGTCAAACGAGCTCACGACGCTTGTGAACATTAAATTCTTTTTGTTAGTTTTTAGATTGTATTCAGTATTTTATTTTGTTGAAAATGGACTCTGATTCAGAGAAATTGTGCATGGAGGAAATTGATCATTTGGTGCTTGACAATGATAAAAAGGTTCGTATCGCATTATTATTTGGATTGATGTATTCAGTGTGTTGCTTCTTGTATTGAATGTGAATTTTCATGTTACAACAGGTCACTGTTGCCTACATTTCGAACACTTGGAACATTCCGAATAAGGATGGGGAAGTTATTCTAGAAAAATGGCTGAAAAATTACACTGACGACAGATCGATTGTAAAAGAATACTTGATTCGAGGCAATGACACAAATGGAAATGCGATTATCACTGTAAGTGGGCATTGTATTCGTGTGTCTATTACACGAAAAATGCTAAACTCTTTGGAATTTTCTATTCATAACGCCCTGTATTGTAGGTGATTCCTGAAAAAAGTCTGGCGAAAGTGGAAAAAATATGCCCAAAATTCACTAAAACACTTTACAGCATCGAAATAGGCAGCATCAATGGGAAAAGTTTGAATGTGCATGAACCAGCCGCAAATAAATTGTAAGAGAAATTAATTTATTACCAATTTTAAGACCAATCCAAAACTAATCCAACAATTAAAAAATCAACAGCATCAGTTTGAAGCTAAACAGCAACCCACGAAACGTTAAGGTCCATGAAATTGTTGTTCCGCAAGCGGAAAAATCAATAAAGAAAGAATCCGAACCGCCGAAAAAAACGAATCTATTCGGTGTAGCAGCATCGAAGCAAGCAGAGAAAAAAGAGGTTAAAACCGTTAAGAATGAATCAGGCAGTTCTAAAGAAGCTAAAGTAAAGGAGGAAAAGACTAGCCCGAAGAAGCAGAGCCCGAAAAAGAATCAACCACCTTCCAAGGCACAGTCAAGCAAGTCGATTGCTTCATTCTTTGGCTCCAAGCCATCGTCATCGAAATCGAATGCGACGAAGGCTGACAAATCGGTTTCTGAAGCCACTTCCAAAATTGAAAGCGTAACAATTAAGGATGAACCAGTCGAAGAAACGTCAAGTGGTACGAAAAATACACAAAAAAGATTCCATTCAAATACAAGTGGTGAGTTACTGAAACAAAACTAGTAAATTTTGATGGAAAAAAGGAAAAACAATATTAAAGCTGTGTACTAAAAATGAACATCATTTTTTCTACAGATTCGAATGAAGATGCAAAATCGGCCGAGAAGAAACAAACAAAGAAAAAGATGAAATTGGAGCCAAAGTCACATCGGTCCCGTGTGATGCAACTCTGTGATTCGTCATCCGATGAAGAGAGCACGACAAATGGTAAAGACAGTCAAGATGAGCCAATGGACACTGAAGAAGAGGTGGTTGTAAAGAAAGAAAAGGAAAACAAAACACCGTCGCCCGAAAAAATGACGAGCAACAAAGTGAATGGAAGTTCAAGTGGCAAACGTCGTGCTAAGGTTAAGAAAACTGTCACAAGAACATATGAAGATGAAGATGGTTTCATAAGTAGGTCCTTGAAAAGAGTTGAATGTGAATTTGATTTGTAAAATTTATTCCATTTCTAATATTTGCAGACACCGTTCGTGAAACAGAAGAAGTCAGTTGTTCCGACGAAGAACCAGAAGTAGCACCACCACCACCGAAAAAGGCCGCTACAATCACAGACAACGGCAGCAGTTCAACTGCAACCAAAAAGAAAATCTCACCACCGGCGGGAAAGAAACAAGGATCGATTTTAAGTTTCTTTGGAAAGAAATAAGCTAAAACAGAAAAAAAATTCATTTCTTCTTATCATCCCAGTTACATTGAATAAAGACTTTCAAGTCATTTTTGCATAAGAAATATGGTTTGTTTACTAATTTAGTTGAATACATCACTCCCAGATGGCGCAGCATCAACAAGACACATCATTCTGACGTTTAATCGAAACCAATTGCAACTTTGACAGCGAACAATTTGCTCCTATTATTTTTTTTTTATTGGGACGCGTATACAAAATTCGTCCGAAAACAACACAAAATATTTTTGTGATAGAAAAAGAGAACGAGTTACTCAATATCAAAACACCGTACATAGCTTGGTAATTAACAATAGAAATTCAACAGAATCTTACAATATTCGATACAGTGGTTGATTATTGGTCTTGCTTTTGCTTTTGCTTGGTGTTGCAAAAAAATCGTGCGTGTAATGTTGTAGTGTATTCATATGTGAAGCTTGAATGAACGTCTATACTTCGAAAAGGAAAATTAATATCATAAGTGCAAAAAGTGGCTACGAAGTGTCAACAGAATATTTGCACGGACCAAACAATGTAAATTGATACGGAAACAAAAACCCATATGTTTCTGCTGCTGTTTGAGATCTGATAGTTGTTCGGTGGATGCTGAAATAATTGTTCATACTTTTCAATTAGTCGTTTAATTGTTTGTTTGCCTTTACGCTACGTGTACAATAATTTACAGCTTTTGTGTTCATATGTATTTTTATAGTCGATCGTGACATGTTTTTTGTCATTTATATCTTTTCGCTGGAATTGTGAACTTCGTCGTTTTTTGTGCAGCAGCAAATGCAATAAAAAACCGATATAATCACATTAATACCTATTCTGGATAAAATGCACAGTTATCAAAATGATGAATTGCAAATGCTTTAACCTTACCCAATGTCATTAAAAATTCCGATAAAACAAAAACTCAACTCAACTCAATGAAATTGCAAAGGACTGAGGCGGGAACAAAATCTCATTATTCGTGGTAGAGAGACAATTTGTAATCAATAGAAATCATGTCGTTTGTTAGTGGTAATTCAAGTAACGAAGCGGTGCAAAAGTTCTTGGAGATTTTGCAAAACGATTTCCGCACATTGGCCAACGAAACGAAGAAAAAATACCCACAAATCAAAGAGGTTCGTTTGAAAAATCGCTGATTTTCAATGTTAAATATAGCTCGCACTTTTATTATTCGACATTATCTCCGCATTCAATTGTTCATCATTTCCATTTTCTTCTTTGTCCCCTCCCTCGTTTCAGTCATGTGAAGAAGCAATAATAAAACTGAAAGCAGCGTCATCGACGCCATCCACTCAACTTTATTATGTCGTCAATCAAATTTTATATGCTTTAGTTCAGGGTTGTGAATCGAAAGATGTGAAAATTATCAAGGTTCGTTTTTAACTCAGACTCTCGTCATTTTATTGCCACTTTCAATGGATATGGTGTTTCCATTTTAATGCTCATAATGGTTTCCTTTTGTTCTTCATTATACTTCTTTCAGTATTGCCTTGGAATGATGCAACGATTAATAACACAACAAGTAGTCGATCAAAAGGGTGCTCGTTATATAACTGATACTCTGTGGATGTTAATGGAGCATGGAACGGAAGAAGTTAAAGTGTTGCAAACGGTTACTTTGTTACTGACGACAAATAGCGTTGTGCACGGTGAAACACTGGCCAAAGCACTTGTTTTATGCTTTCGTTTGCATTTCACCAAAGATTCGACAACGATAAATACGGCCGGTGCCACGGTGCGGCAATTAGTTTCACTGGTGTTCGAACGAGTCATTACGGAGGATCAGGAATCAGAAGCCTCAACGTCAGAAGAGCAACCGATACAAGAAGTGAATATTGAAGAATTGAAACAAGCCCCTGGCCAAGCACCAAAAGGACTCAACGTGTGTGCGTCCGATGCATTTTTGCTGTTCCAAGACTTGGTACAGCTTGTGAATGCTGATCAGCCATGGTTCTTGCTTGGAATGACTGAAATGACTCGCACATTCGGGTTGGAACTCCTGGAAACGGTTTTGACCACGTTTTCCCCGGTTTTCTTCAAGCATCCCGAATTCTCGTTCCTGTTAAAAGAACGGGTGTGCGCGCTTGTGATCAAACTCTTTTCACCGAATATCAAATACCGAACCGTTGTTCAGACAAATCCTCAGCAACCAGTTGCGTTGGACAAACCATATTTTCCTATTAGCATGCGCCTATTGCGTGTCGTATCGATTCTAATACAGAAATATCACCGCCTTTTAGTGACTGAGTGCGAAATATTCCTATCTTTAATCGTTAAGTTTTTGGATCCGGATAAACCTGCTTGGCAACGCTCCTTGGCACTCGAAGTCATTCATAAAATGACCGTACAGCCGGAGCTGCTCGTGTCATTTTGCCAATGTTACGATTTAAAGGATCATGCAACGAACATCTTTCAAGATATCATCAACTCACTTGGAGCCTACGTTCAAAGCCTATTCGCACCAACACACTCGAATAGTGTTAATGGTACGGTGTCAGAAGATGCGAAATTATTCTGATGGAAATAGTTATATCATATTCAATTTTGTATTTGCAGCTGTTTCGACACCCACTCAAACATTGCCGATGATGAGCACATTACCGATGGTACCGGGCGCATCACAACAAGCCGGATTCCTATTTAGAAGTGTCTGGCTGCCGCTTATTGTTACATTCCCAACCGGACAATCCAAATCAACATTGTATGTATCAAATATGCATCGTTTTTTCCTTTTTGAATACTGCTAATATGGATATTTTTGACTTTAATAGCTTGGAGATGCTCGACAAAGTTGAACCACCTCCAATACCGGATGGATTTGGAATTTCCGTGGCATACGCTTGCCTTCTGGACATTGTTCGATCGATTTCGTTGGCTGTTCTTGGTCCATCGAAGGTAAGCTCGTATTTTTCGTACAACTTTTTGAATAATATCAGTTCAAAACTATAATTATATTCGCTCAAAGTTAAAGTTGAATTATTAACTGAGTTTCTGTTCGAATTTTCAGATTGGAGAGGAGAAACCTACACCGTACAAGGATAACGTATCTGAAGCTGATCGACAATTACACGCCCAACTGATAACATCGAGTTGGTGCGGTCTGCTGGCTGCTTTAACTCCTCTAATTGATGCGGCTACCGATGAATCAGTTACTGAGAATGTTTTGAAGGCAATGCAAAACTATGCCGCACTATGCGGTACATTGGGTAATGCAAATAGGTAAAAAAACAACTTAGCATCATAACTTATGCAAACCTTCCCCTTACCGAATAGATATTCAAACACCACGAGATGCTTTCATAACAGCAATTTGCCGCTCATCCTTACCTCCGCATTATGCATTGTCAGTTCTGAATATGGGCTATCAATTCTCGGGCATCATAAGTACGTATTCAATAATTTCGCATTCCAAGTAGAAACATTCGATAAGTTGCGGAAAAGTTTTTATTAAAATAAATTTGCATTAAAATGTATCTCTTTTATTTGTAGCTCATTCTCGTTCTCCGAGCCAAGACCTAAATCATCAATATATGACATCGTCATGCGGTGAAAATGATTTTCGTCATCAAGTTGTGGCTGTTGGAACGCCTTTGCCAACAACATCGCTTCCAATTGGCGCACAACAAGGACCGGTTATGTTAACGGCTAAAAATTTGCAATGCATGAGAGCGATGCTACATTTGGCCCATTGCCATGGGTGTATATTGGGCACCTCTTGGCATATTGTGCTCGCAACATTGCAACATTTAGTTTGGATATTGGGTTTGAAACCGTCGACGGGAGGAAGTTTACAGGTTGTGCCAAAATTGTCCACCGATGCAACAGCTGGAATAACCACATCGGTTATGGCCGATTTGCCCGTTCTATCTCAAATGCTGAGTCAATTGTTCGAATCTAGTCAGTACTTGGATGATGTTGCGCTACATCATTTAATCGATGCATTGTGTAAACTATCACAAGAGGCAATGGAGTTGGCTTATTCGAATCGGGTAAATTTACTCACTCCTTATAATGTTCGAGGTGGAAAAGTTTATATTTCTTGTTTGAATTGATTTTCGCAGGAACCGTCGTTATTCGCTGTGGCAAAGCTATTGGAAACGGGTCTAGTGAATCTACCTCGCATCGAAGTATTGTGGCGACCGCTAACAAATCACTTGTTGGAAGTGTGCCAACATCCACATATTCGAATGCGTGAGTGGGGCGTAGAAGCGGTTACGTATCTCGTGAAAGCAGCACTGCAATACAAATACGAAACACCACTAAAGGATAATATGGTGAGTCAAAGTAACAAAACAGATTTCATTAAAATAAAACGAAACCATTTGTAACAATCAATGTTTTTTTTTGTTTTTTCCAAACAGACGCTGCAAACATTACTTCTGAATCCATTGGCTGAGCTGTCGTCTGTACCGCATGGCGACGTTCGTCAACGGCAATTGGAATGTGTTTTACAAGTATTAAATGGAGCTGGCGAAATATTGACTCATGGATGGCCTTTAGTTTTGGGCATCATTGGCGCTGTTAATGATCGCCATGGCGAAGCATTGATTCGAATAGCATTCCAATGCTTGCAATTAGTTGTAACCGACTTTTTGCCCGTTATGCCTTGGCGCTGCTTGCCGCTGTGTGTCAACACAGCAGCTAAATTCGGATCTCAAACGCAGGAACTGAATATTTCTCTGACAGCTGTCGGTTTGATGGTTAGTTACGATGAATTATGTTTATTTAACGCGTGATGAAATATGTTTTTCTCAACTGATCGGATCATTTTTTCTTCTTTTCCAATAACTTATCTAGTGGAACATTTCCGACTACTTCAATCAAAACCAAGATAAGCTGTCACAAACCGTGTCCGAAGATCAAACTGTTTTGCCCGATTTCCCGGGCACTCTAAATATACCGCACTTTGATAAGCTGTGGATGTGCTTATTTGCTCGCCTTGGCGACTTGTGCGTCGATTCACGACCTGCAGTGCGAAAATCGGCAGGACAAACACTGTTTTCAACCATTTCAGCCCATGGGAATCTCTTGATGCCGCCGACATGGCAATCAGTATTGTGGCAAGTTCTGTTTCCTCTGTTGGATAAGGTGCGAAGTCTATCGAGTTCGGCGAGCAGTGAAAAGGTCGATACCACCGGGAATATTTTAATTCATCACTCACGAAACACGGCACAAAAGCAATGGGCCGAAACTCAAGTGTTAACTTTATCAGGTGTGTCGCGTGTATTCAATACCAAACGGCACATGCTACAAACGCTCGGCGATTTCATTCGGGCGTGGTCGCTGCTATTGGAGTTCATTGAAAACGCTGCTTTAAGCAAAAGTAATGAGGTCTCTTTGGCCGCTTTGAAATCGTTCCAAGAAATTCTCTACAACAAACCGAACAATGAGCGCGACGATGACATGGAAAAGCAAATGCCAGTTGAAGGAATCGATATTAATGGCACGGAAAATATGGACATTTGGAATGTAAGCCAAGAAAATAAAATTGACATTTAATGAAAATTGAAAATAAACCGAAACAATTGTTGTTGCAGATTGCATGGAAAGTTTGGCTGACGATCGGTACGGATAGCACGAAACCACCAACAGCAGGACTATCGGGAGATAAAAATGACGTGGACATTTTCATTCCAAGCCAAGCTTACTTGACTGCATTGATTCAGATATTTCCGGCATTATTCCAGCATATTAAACACAAGTTAGTAATTACTGGCCAATGCCACGGGTTATTTTTATTTTCAAAAACTAACAATTTCATTCCATTTCGACAGATTCACTGAAGACGACCTTCGCCAACTGTGTACTGTGCTAATGAATGCCGTAGCTGTTCCCGTGCATAGTGATTCAACGCCATATATAATGTCAACCATTTCGGACTCGCTTCTAACTCCGTTGCATGACGGTGTGCTTGAGTGCATAGATATTTTGTGCAAAGAAGTTCTACCTCCTTCATCCCCATTAAAATCAATGAATGCAATTATTTTTAGTCAGCTGCTAAATTTCAGTAAATTCGCCTGTGTGCCACCAACGTTTGATCGTCTTGAAACTAGGTGTGGATTCCCTTGAAATCAATCATCCATTCCGCTTGATTTAATTCCCAATTCATTTTTTTCTGTATCACCACAGGCCTTACAAATCGAATCGAAATCAACATCAGCACAATCAAAATCACTCGACAATCGAATGGGTTAGCATGAACTACATTCCATTTGGTGAAAAGGCAATGAATGTTGCGGTCAAAATTTATGTACAATGTGCCAACGATCCGATTGTAATTGAAGAGCGCATTTTGCTAGAGATAATCAACACTCTGAAAATTCCATTGGCAATGAAGTACAAATGCATGGCATCGAGCACTTGGAAACTAGCAATCGAAAGTTTGCTGGCTGTTCTGCATGTTGGATTGCCAGTGGCTCGACAGTATCCAGAGTCGTTTGCTGATGTTTGGCCTATACTCTCCGGAACTTTAGATAAATTTTTGTTCCCATCGAGTGTGTGTACGATTGAAGATCGTGGCATTGACGAAATTGTATTAGACGAAACCATCGATTGTCAAGTCATTGAGATGTTGCGCGACGAAATTCTACCGTACGCTGAGCATATACCTCACCAATTCATCTTGGACATTGTGACCATTTTAAATAAGGGATCGATTCACTCGGCCACCGCTCGGAATAGTGTTTACGATGCCGAATTGAAACTTAGAGAAGAATTCGCAAAGACATGCTTTGAAACGTTGCTGCAGTTCTCTTTGCTCAATGATCTGTGTGATACGGTTGTGTCGAATGAAAACAAGGATGCATGTGCTTTAAACAATAATACAACGAATTCAAACGACACGATCGAGGGAGTAGGCCATATGGCGATTACAGCACTGTTGAGGCGCTTCGAAGAAGTTCTCAAAAAATTTAGCGAAGACGAGAAACAATGCACGAAGAGCACTTTGCCCAAATATCGCCTATCAGAAATCTCATTTGTGATGAAAGCTATCGCCACACTGATTATTTCTATGAAGAAAACCCCACCAAACAAACGTGAGCATTTTTTAATTGAAATTTGATTCTTTTTTTGCCCGCCGATTTATTTCATTCTAAAATTCCTTTTTCGAATAATTTCAGTGGATAAAGTCGCTTGGGATCATCTAATTGGACTATTCCCCTTGCTTGTTGACTGCACTACGACCACATCGATCGAAGTATCACGCTCGCTTCGCGAAGCTTTGTCACAGTATGGAGATCTGTTGCGTCCACCAGCTGGTCACAGTGAAATGAACGGCGTTGCCAAAACATAAACATTAAATTCATTCTCCGCTTAACTAGTACATGTTCCCTAAACCATTTGCTACGTGACTCAAACGTACAATTTTAACGAGGCAAAACTAACAACCGTAAACAACATTAGCAGAAAATAAACCCATGTCAAGGTTGAAAGTAGTGATCAAAATCATTGATATAAAATATATACATTTGTTTGATTCCTTTTTTTCAAATTTTCTTACATAATTCTTTGTATTTATAAATAATAATAGAAAATGAGAACATTTTACAAGTAAAAATGGGCGCCTTGATGGAAAATCACAAGAAAAAAACATTTCTGTCCGACTCGCAAAAACGGCCAGAAGACACATTCTTTTTTTTCTAGTGCAATAGTTAAATCATAGATTTGCGGTGCAACAATTCAAATAAAACGGATTCAATAGACAATTCCAATTTGGTTACTATATTTTTGTTTATTTAAAAATTTCGGCACACCAGTCAAGGTTTGAATTTCCTTCCCTAATTTCCAGATCTGCAGATCATGTTTAATGACGCACGTGAATTGTAATGAAACAGATAATTCGAATTTAGTATTCCAATTTCATTTGTTTGAAATAATTTTTAGTTTTCATGGTTTGTTCAATATTGTCAAATAATGAGGTAAATGTGGCTGCCGCCTATTTTTGGCGAGTAATCGATTTAGAATTCGCTCGACCCTGTCTAATTGTGTAAAAGATCGAAAAATGCCACTATTCTACCATAAGCAATTGCCACTACCATAAGTAATTGTCATTTCAAAGACCACAGATACGGTGTGATACTGGGATATCCAGGGAAAAGATTTCAGACAGTTTACCGCAATTAAGCGTCAGAGCACCTGGCTTAAGGCGTTACGGTTAGTACCATGTTACTGTATAACTAAATCAACAAATTCTATATGGGCTTCAAACTAGGGATCAAGGCCAAGGTTTTTTCTAATAATAAGTATTTTGTCGATGCCACCCAGTTTGCCAGGTTATCTCAGCCAACATCAACAATAGGTACAATTTAATATGAAATTGAACAAAGTGATTGTTTCTCACATTTGCTGAAATTATCCGAAATGACCACTAACCAGTAAACTCTTCACTATTTTTAGGTGCTAAAATTACTTCACTATTTTTAGGTGCAAGGGGGGGGGGGGGGTCTGGAAATCGATTCTATCTAGTGTAAAACAGTCAAAATTCCACAATGGGGGTCTAACATTTTGTCAATGGGTGAATGGGTGTCAAAAACAAGTGAAGACCTAAAAAAAAAAAAGGTCCTCACTTTTGGAAATCGATTATATCTAGTGTCAAATTTTCCAAATCGCTGGAATGTCCACATTTTGGAATCCTAGAGGGGGGGTAAAACCGAAATACCCCCCCCCCCCTTGCACACGTCTGGCATTCACGTTACGCCTATGAGATAACGCGGATGCTGTGAATTGGTTGACAATAGTGATAAGAATATTATTGTAAGCGGGGATAAACCGAACGAATTCTATTCATCTTCTCAAAGTAGTCAGTCATATTTCCATCCCCGGTCAGGAAAGTTCAGTAACAGATTTCTTCAAATAATAAAATAAACATACTTTCGCATTTTTACTAAACATTCAGACTTCACATTCAGACATTTTTTCAAGCGAAAGAAAAACGACGATCATGGATGATCAACGCAAGTAAGTTGAAAATAGTTTGAAAAATAAAAATAAAACAACGATAATAATATCAGTGAAAGGAAAAACGGTGAATTGTTTGAAAAATAAAAATAAGAATTAAATTCAAATGATTTTCTGTATTCACACTACCGATAAAAAGATTGGACCCAACAGCTGTACATAAATTGAATACATTGATAATTTCTGAAGATATAAAACGTTGAATCGAATTCTTGCTGAAAGCCGCATTGTTTTCATGTCAATGGAGATGTATAGAACTAAAAAGAATTCATGTATTTATAAGAAATAGTCGATCCTTTTTCCTGAAAATTTGCTAAAATTTTCTTCAAATGACAAAAAAGTACGCAAAATTTCATTTGGCTACACGGTTCATAAGTTCATTTGATAACATGCGAAAAACGAAAGATTAAAAGAAAGTAAACAATGCGTGTGATTTATGACTGGTATTTTCTAATTTCGCACAGTGTAATACGTTCGGTAGCGTGCAAAGCACGACGCTGGCGAAGCAATTGTCTCGGGCGGCATTTTTTTGAGGGCGGCAAAATTGGAGTTTGCACTAGATAGAATTGAGTTTTTAAAGTGATGACCTTTTTTTTGCTCTTCAAATTTTGATGTTGGGGCGGCATTTTGATTTTGGGGCGGCAATTTGCTTCGGGCGGCAAATTTCCTTTGCACGCCGCCGAATACGTTAGTCGTTGTAAACAACTCACGCACACAGATGTTAGGTTTTTCTGGGAAAAACTCTTTCCAGACTTATGATCACCACTGTATATAAAAAAGTGTATAATATATATATATATGCATATACTGTACATGGCCTACGTATATGGAATACAAACCAATTGGCTCGTATAAAGAAAGCACGACATGTCATCTAGCTATTTTTGCTTGTGAGTCATTTCATTTATGAAATGCTTTGTGATGATCACATTTTCAAAGCGGTTGGAGTAGATAGAATTCAATATGTGTATACAGATGTACATGTACACTGTTTTTGACATGATTGTGGCAAGCGCATGATGTGAAAACTGAACAAAATTCCATGCAAAAAAGGTGAAGAAATATTTCATTTAATCGCTGTTATGTTTGATCCGTTATATATTGCAATTACAATAGTATTAGTGAGATGTAAAAGAACGCAAAGTTGTCCGACTTCGTAGCAATAAAGAGAAGTATGTTTCATTCCAACTAATAATGGTTAAAAGAATGTGTGTTCGTTTTTGGCGGGTCGTCGTGTTTTTTAACGGTTTCCGCGGAACTGATAAGAGATAACAACTTAGTATCTTCCGCAAAGTTGTAGTACTCAAGGTCTTCTATAACATTGCTGAAGACAGTAATCTCTTATCAGTTCCGCGAAAAGCGCTAAAAATGATAAGAAAAAAATTCTGCATACAATTTGCTTTTTTATGTGTGCGATTTGCGCGCAACTGATAAGAGATAAGAAATTACTGTCTTGAGCAATGTTATAGAGGACCTCGAGTACTACAACTTTTTCGAAGTAACAACACTATTTTGTTATCGTTTATCAGTTCTGCAGAAACCGTGAAAAACCGTAGAGGCTAGAATAATGATATTATATTCATTACTGTTAAGAGACGCTTTTATGCAAATTGAGTATAATTATTTATAATTGATTTTTAAAGCTGATTAAGCTTTAAGTTAACCATTCTTATTAATTTTTCACCGTCTGATCAAGACTTGAATATTCCTCATACAATTCATTTTATAATTTGTACAAGCAGGGACTCGCCACCACTACGAAATATAGTTAGATATGTTCGACCAGACTTTTGTGGCTTCAGCGCGCGTTACACCGTAGCATTTATGGCAATGTTAGGTTTTGTCATTTCATTCGGTATGAAATGTAATCTGAGCGCGGCCAAATCGGAACGGGTACGAATGTATAATGCAACATCGGGTCATGTAAGTTAAACTCTTCCTTGAGGACAAACATATTTTGAGGAAATCGTATGATCGCCCCTCAAATATTACAAATATTTCATTAAAAACAGAAGACAGGCATCTTTCTTTGGGTTTTATTAGCTGTAAAGAAAATGTCATATTTCGCAATTTGTGTTCCGAATATGCCTCACAAGATTTTTTTGTCTGAGGAAAATACTATATATCATCTTTTCGTCGAAAAAAAACTGGAAATCTATTTATCCCATCTAAAGTGTTCTATTTATCCCATAGCAGCTTGATTATCTGTTTAGGCTTAGTCAGTAATAATTAGAAAAAATTGTAGAATTTTTTTCTTGTTGTTAACGTTAATTGTTGTTTACAGATATGGAAAGAGGAAATTTCAACGAAGTTTCCTATCTGATCATATTTTTTGGAAAATGCAAAACGCATCTACTGGCTGGAAAAGGCTACCGAAAGACCATATTCACTCAATTTTCGACGAGCAATCGATTAAAAGTGGTCACAATGCGATCTGAGGGCATTTCATGGTCGAAAAATAGGTCGAATTGAAGTGAATTTTTCAACTTGCTCTATTTTCACTGAAAATGATGTTTTTGTTCGGAAAACACGTGAAATACACCTCTGACGACATTTTGGTCTTAGAAAACTGCTATTTTTTCGTGAAAATAATGGGAGTCCAAAAACACTTGAATATCCATTTCGTTGTCATTTTGGTCATAAATCGACATTTTGACATCTGAATGTATGAAATTGAACTTTTGTTCGGAGGATACATAAAAAATGCACTTTCCAGAGCTTTGGTTGTTGGAAATTA